ATAGAACAGCGGATTGTAAGATACAAGATGTGCAGCAGTATCACTGTGTGAACTGCAATGAGAAGGGTCATGCCGCATGGGACCGGGAGTGTCCTGTCTTCCTAGACCATCTGAGCAAGTTGAACGCCCGCTGTCCAGAGAACCACCTTCAATTCTACCCTACAGGGGACCTGGACTCATGGGTCCCAAAGCTGCATGATAGAGCTGTCTCTGCCACACGAGTTCAGTTGAAAGACGTAATTGAGGAGGAGATTGAGAAAGGCCGAAAGGCACCCTCGCAACGTGCTAGGGCGCAGAAAGGGCGGGCTCGCATGGTGCAGATGCAGCTCCCGTTCGGGCCGGCCACAAAGGCCCCGGGTTGACGATGACTTGGAGGAGGCTTGATGTAGATTATGATGGCGCACTGACAGACAATACTACTAATTCCTTTTCTTTTCAGACTTGGCAGCATGATAAACCCAACGTTGACAGCAAGCCGCGCATACCCAACTCGACATGAAGGCAGACGAGCCCTTCGGAGGCACCCCTTTACAGCAGAGAGACAAGCACCGGTCCACATCGCACCAAGCCATGATGCTGAGCCCTCCTCATCAGCGATTTCTCGCGCACGAACCACTGCGCTAACGACACTTACACTTTCCCAGGCTACACTCACACACGTTCAGTACGATACAGTGTCCCTACATATACCTGCTGGTCATGCATGTATCCGAGACAATGGATCCCTTGTACCTATGCGTTGCGGGCATCTGCCCGCTCTAGGGGCGGGGGACTTCTGACGAACGGCGGGGATACCGCCGGGCGTACTCCTGACCGCAGCAAGAGGCGGGTCCCAGGGATGCAATCGTACCCATTGGGCGGCAGGTTTGCAACCCGTACCCTAGCCTTCACTGGCCAAGGGTGGACAGGCGGCCACAACACATAGGTACTGCGCCCTACTACTCACCATTCCACCACTAGTGTACCCTTGCACCCCTCCTTCCGGTCATCGCCTAGCACTTCCCCTTGCCCCGTTCGCCACCGTTACTTCCCCACCACACCCCCCTAGTTAGCTCGAGCCTTGTGCTCACCATGTACAGCCGAACACCCACTTCTTACTCACGTCGATAGTATTTGTAGTTTAAGGCCTACCATGAGGCGCGGCCTCGCAGGGCAATAAACGGGATCTAGAAAGAAAGAAAGAAAGAATCACCATCCGGATGCCTTCTGAATACTATAGATCACTCTCAGGAAAAGACGGGCTGATGGTATCTCCGTGTGTAACGCCACCTTAGTCTCCCATAGTGTCAATATGGATCCGCCTCTGAATCTACCTCCAGGCAGTCGTGGGTTGCGATAAACGGTTGGCCATGCCAAGCGACCCCTGTATTTTCCCGGCGCATCTTCGTGAAGAGGAAGAGGGTCAGCTCGAGACCCTCTTGGCAGGTTAAACTTCTCGGGCTCCAGTTCCAACGCTGCAACAGTGCCGAACGACCGGACCCAACTGCAACCGCTATAGGCATGCAGCAGAACACCAGGCTTGGCTGGCCTCACTCAGGTCTCTCAGGGGGAGGAGTGATGGTGCTTTTGGATACAGGTCAGTCATGTGCGCGCCCTTGTGTTTTGCGAGCTGATGTGTTCCCGTGAAGGGTAGAGACTACAACGAGGTCTGCAGACCCGAGGGTTATTCGCCCTTGCAGGTACGCAGACCTCCCTTGGAGGCCTCAGACCTCCCTCTCCCCTAACCCACGTGATGATATGATCATACCTGATATTGATAGCCTCCCGCTTCCTCCCGCCTACTCTCCTCCCGCCTCCCCTCTTTTCCCGCCAGTTCCGACCGACCCCGACCCACCATTGTCCGCTTTGCTTCTTGCCTTACCCGCTGTGCGCCCTCCCATTTCCTGCCTCCCGCCTTTTCTGGCCGTCCTCTCCGCTCCCACCTGACCTGCCCTTTCCCACAGTGCCGACCGTTGCCAGAGCGCAGGCTTCGTCGTTTTGGAGGTGTTTCGTAGAGTGCTTATCTTGATCTAGTTTCAGGAACAATCGTCGTATACTCGCGCGCACATGAAATACAGAGTAGAGAGATTCGGCTTGGCGAGGGATCGATCTAGAACTGTCACAGT